TCCTGCCCTGAGGAGGCAGAGCTGGGGCATTCCTTGGCAATCACCTTTCCATAGTTCCCCCAGGTGACCGTGATCCGGTTGGTGGCTACGGACAGGTACATGAGGTGGGTGAGGTTGATGGGACGACAGGGCCTTTTAGGTTCCACTCCAGGTTTGTTGGATGGGTAGTAACCCTAAGGCAGAAAGGTTAGAAGAGAGAGATTTAGTTCTTTTTTGTTTCCCACTTAAAATATTTCTCCATCTACTCATCAGCTCTCAGGGACGAAGGGAGAAAGACGAACATTCACACCAAGCAGAAAGGATCGAGTCCTTCACCAGAACAGTTGATTCACAATGCCTAATCCATCAGAAAAAAATGGATTTAAGCTTTCAACTAAGCTCTTTTATATTCTGGCATTGATCAGGAAGCCAATTCCCTTCTTCTAGATTCCATAATCCAAGTGGCAATGCCAAGAGCTCCCAACCTGCATGGATTTGAGTCCTGTGCTCAGTTTTGGTCCCTCAGCTCAAGAGGGACATTGAGGAGCTGGAGCAGGTCCAGAGAAGAGCAACGAGGCTGGGAAAGGGACTGGAGCACAAGTGCCATGAGGAGAGGCTGAGGGAGCTGGGGGTGTTCAGCCTGGAGAAGAGGAGGCTCAGGGGAGACCTCATCACCCTCTGCAACTCCCTGCCAGGAGGTTGGAGTCAGGTGGGGGTTGGACTCTTCTCCCAGGCAACCAGCAGCAGGACAAGAGGGCACAGACTCAAGCTCTGCCAGGGGAGGGTTAGGTTGAATATTAGGAAGAGATTTTTTACAGAGAGAGTGCTCAGGCAATGGAATGTGCTGCCCAGGGAGGTGGTGGATTCACCATCCCTGGAGGTTTTCAAGCTGAGACTGGATGTGGCACTTAGTGCCATGGTCTGGTAATCATGGTAGGGTTGGACTTGATGATCTTGGAGGTCTCTTCCAACCTGGTTGATTCTATGATTCTATGACTTACTGGCACAGAGCAGTAACTGTGGTTGACCTTCACGGCGATATTGGGAGGGTACTGATCCTCCTGAGGAGTACTGGTGTCTGTGTAGCAGATTCTGAGAGGGGAAAAAAAATGACACATCTCTCAATATTCCCACAGTGGGCACATCCAAATGTCTCCATGCCCCAGCAGCTCCATTCCCACCACAACCCACGGGTCCAATCCCAGTGGACAGCAAGATGTGGCACTGCTGCTTCTCCTCAGAGCTGACTCCTGCTCCTCAACCTTTCCTCCATGGAGGAAGAGGTTGAAAAGGAGACTTGAAGGTGCCTGTGGGTAAAGAGCTCAGTGGAAATGGGTTTTGGAGCTGTGAAATCCACAGGGAAACTTGGGCTGGAATATTCCTTCCTGCCCTGGGAGCAAACAGAGCCCACACTCAGACCTACCTCAGCACTACCTGAACTGATTTCACACCAGGCTGCAGCTCCCTGGGGAAGGAAACAAACAGAAATGTTGGAATAATGATGGAAAAGAATGAAAACCACCCCAAAACCTCACCCAAATCCTCCTGGATTTTCCCCTGACTTTTCTCTCCTGGTTTTCTCCCCTTGTTTGTTTTTTTTTCCCTCTCTGAGTTTTCTCTCCAGTTTTCCTTTCCCTGAGTTTTCTCTCCTGGTTTATTTTTTCCCCCCTTGAGTTTTCTCTCATGGTTTATTTTTTTCCCCCCGAGTCCTCTCCTGGGTTTTTTTTCCCCCCCTAAGTTTTCTCTCCTGGTTTTTTTTTTTTCCCCTAAGTTTTCTCTCCTGTTTTTTTCCTCTGAGTTTTCTAACCTTTTTTTTTCCCTCTCTGGGTTCTCTCTCCTATTTTTCCTCAGAGTTTTCTTACCTGTTTTTTTTTCCTCTGGGTTTTCTCTCCTGTTTTTTCCTCACTGAGTTTTCTCTCCTGTTTTTTCCTCACTGAGTTTTATCTCCTGTTTTTTCTTCTTTGGGTTTTCTCTGAGATTTCTCTCCTGGTTTTTCCTCTCTGAGATTTCTCTCCTGGTTTTTCCTCTCTGAGTTTTCTCTCCTGGTTTTTCCTCTCTGAGTTTTCTCTCCTGGTTTTTCCTCTCTGAGTTTTCTCTCCTGGTTTTTCCTCTCTGAGTTTTCTCTCCTGGTTTTTCCTCTCTGAGTTTTCTCTCCTGGTTTTTCCTCTCTGAGTTTTCTCTCCTGGTTTTTCCTCTCTGAGTTTTCTCTCCTGGTTTTTCCTCTCTGAGTTTTCTCTCCTGGTTTTTCCTCTCTGAGTTTTCTCTCCTGGTTTTTCCTCTCTGAGTTTTCTCTCCTGGTTTTTCCTCTCTGAGTTTTCTCTCCTGGTTTTTCCTCTCTGAGTTTTCTCTCCTGGTTTTTCCTCTCTGAGTTTTCTCTCCTGGTTTTTCCTCTCTGAGTTTTCTCTCCTGGTTTTTCCTCTCTGAGTTTTCTCTCCTGGTTTTTCCTCTCTGAGTTTTCTCTCCTGGTTTTTCCTCTCTGAGTTTTCTCTCCTGGTTTTTCCTCTCTGAGTTTTCTCTCCTGTCCTCTCCTCTCTGAGTTTTCTCTCCTGGTTTTTCCTCTCTGAGTTTTCTCTCCTGGTTTTTCCTCTCTGAGTTTTCTCTCCTGGCCTCTCTGAGTTTTCTCTCCTGGTTTTTTTCTAAGTTTTCTAACCTGTTTTTCCTCTCTGAGTTTTCTTACCTGTTTTTTTTTCTCTGGGTTTTCTCTCCTGGTTTTCCTCTGAGTTTTCTCTCCTGTTTTTCTCTCTGGGTTTTCTCACCTGTACAGCTAAAAACTCTCAATTTCTCTGGCAGCTTCTGCTGAGTTGTTAAAACCCACCAAAACTAGGTTTCAAGGTCAGATTTACCTGCCTCATGTTTAATTATTCAGCCAAAGCTGTTCCTGCCAACCAAGGGACTGAGGATTAGGGCACAATATTCCTGACAGAATTCCAGCTGGAATCAGGACAGTGATGGATCACAGGACAAAGGTGTTTTATTGGGAGGCAAACCAGGATTTAAGGCATTAGGGAGATCCCAAGTGAGGCTTGATTTGCCTCTGGAAGTGTTTCACATCCCAGTTCAGCAGTTCAGGATGGATTTGGGGGTGGGAAGGATGGGACAAGGAGCTGAGGGAGCAGTTTTAGGGGGGAGGGACACACCACAAGCAGTGGGAAAACTTGGGACTGTGCTGAGCAAGGACAAACTCACTGCAGCACTCCAGGAAAACAGTGACAAGTTTCCTCCCAGATCTGACTGTAGGGAGGGAAGAGCACCAAAAACCAGCTATTTTTTTTTTCTGCAGCTTTTTATCACCCTTAAAAACATGTGTAGTCTAAACACTTCCTTTCTGTGAAATCTTTGCCACTGGTTGACCTGCTGAGATGAGAAGAACCATCACCTTCCTCTGCCTTTACAGTGACTTCAGCAGGGAGAGAAGGACAAAGGTTTGACACTCCACTGGGGGAGGAATTCTCCCACCTCACTGCCCTTTCCCACTCCACTGGGGGAGGAATTCTCCCACCTCACTGCCCTTTCCCCACAGCAAGGCCCAAGGCAGGAGATAAGCTCCAAGGAAACCTCCCTGACTGCACTGCCAACATCTCAGGAGACTTCACTGTTTGCCTCCAAAATTGGACCAGGACAGAGCTCAGGGTAAATCCTAACCCAAATTGTTTCCTTAGGCAATTCCTAGAGCTTCTTTTCCAAGCTTCCCTTTCAGAATCAAACAACCTTCCAGTGGCTTTTGAACTCTGGATGCTAAGGAAAAGCTGCAGATATTCATCAGTGATGAATTTAGGTCATCCATGAATGATTTCATCTCACCATTCCAAAGGGAGGTTAGAGGAGAAGGGAAACTTGATTTGTACCTCTCACCTCCTCTCCCCCAAAGCCTAAGGTCCTCACACAAATCCTGGTGCCTTGCAGAGAACAAAAACCTTCCAGAGGGAGGGAATGCAGAGGAATGACAGGAATCACACAGCTGTGTTTTCTTAACACCCGCTGAGAAGTACCTGGAATTTCTGATCAGCTCCACTTGTCTCGGTGTTAATGCAAAGATACATGGACTTTCCTGAAGCTTCTCATTGTTCTGTGGAACTGAGGAGGGAAAAAAACCAAACAAAACACACTGAATAACAAAGTGGTAACATCAGCTCTGAGCACAAGGGGATTTTTTTTAAATGTTCTCTTTTCTTTCCTCCCTAAAGCTGTGCCCAAACTCCACTTTCCATGTGGATTCTACATCAATTGGAGCTCTACTCACTTCTTTCCTGTTCTGCTGCTTAGCAAAGTAACAACACAAGATTTGACCCTGATATTTCTAGATTTTCACCATTTTTTTTTCCTCCCCTCAACCAATCCTCGAGCATCAACCCTGTGTTCCTCACATCAGTGATGTCCCAGTGTCACCAGGACTCCAAGAAGCCCAAAAATAAGCATGAAAAAACCATGAAACCACCAGACTGAGCAGGTTGGTTCTGGAAAAGAAAGAGAACAATCACAACAACACAACCATCAGCTTAGAGAATCAAAAAAATGCAGCACGAAAAAGCAGCTGGAAGAGACAAAACACTACTTGCAAAGTCCTGACCTTGATGGTGGGACAGGAGATCACATTCAGAGGTGGTTAATGAGAACTTGGTGTAAATTGGGGACTTTTAGCCACTGAGGGTGTTAAGTGTAATGAATTTAATGTGGAGAAAATGAAGCTTGAGGTATGGAAAAGTTCTGTTCTAACTCCTGCTTAGGAGCTTAAATTCAGCCATGGTTTCTTTTCAGGGCATGTTCCAAGCAAAGTTAAGAGCCTGAGATGGTGAAAGGCCCAGGAGAAACACAAAGAAGTGCTAAAGCAGCTTTTATTTGATTAATTTTGAGCAAGAATTGGGTGTTTTTCACCCTCTCACACTCCTAATCCAGAACATCAAACCTCAGAGCACATCACCACACTCAGGTGGGTTTGTTCCTCTTCACACTTCCACAACATCCCATCACCACCACACTCAGGTGGGTTTGTTCCTTTTCACACCTCCACAACATCCCATCACCACCACACTGAGTTGTTTTCCTCAGGGGATTTTGTTTTAGCCTGAGTTGGATCCACAAGGATCAAATCCAACTCCTGGCCCTGCACAGACACCCCAACAATGCACCCTGAGAGCACTGGGCAAACACTCCTGGAGCTCTGTCAGCCTTGGGGCTGTGACCACTGCCCTGGGGAGCTGTTCAGTGCCCAAACACCTCTGGGGGAAGAACCTTGTCCTGATATCCATCCCAAACCTCCCCTGACACAGCTCCATGTTCCCTTGGATCCAGGTCCCAGAGAGCAGAGCTCAAGGACTGATTCCCCACTAAGAAGAGCTCCAAGCACACAACTTCCTATGTGGATGTTGTTCCACCTCCTCCACGGAGCTAATAGCCAAAGTGTTGGGATAATCCCAGTTTTGAGGAGCCAAATCTTTCCTCATCCACATCAGAAGGAATTACAGGTGCAGCTCACCAGGTTGGGAAAGTAAAACAAGTGTCTAAGACTCATTAGGTTGTGCTCAGCTGACTGGGACAATGAGACCTCAACATCTGCTCGTGCCTAGCTCCTCTCTGCTCCCAGAAAACCCTCTCTCATCCACAGGGAAAAGCAGCCAAAGCAGCTCCAGGGGCTCAGGGGAGGTGTCAGCTAACAGGGGTGAGACTACTGTAACGAGCCCTCAGTCCTGAGCTGCTGGGGAAGGTTTCATGTCAACTTTTGAACCCATCTGTTCATCACAGTAAGGATATCCAAGCTCTTCTTCTGCCTCTGGGGGTTTCTACCTCTTGGGAATTGGTTTTCCTTCAAAATCCTTTGTTAGCTTTGCTGACTAACACATCACCTCACACTGAGGGTGAACAAACCCATTGCCCAAACACTTCTGGTTTAGGTTTAGTCCTCCCTCAGCTGCTTCGTCACCTTTGGCACAGCATCAATGGATTTAACACCTCCAAATGAAGACAAAAATGATATAAAATCTGATACATCAACCCTTTTTCTCTCTCTTTCTGCACGATCATATCTTGATCTATATTTTTTCCACAACATTTCTCCCCCCTCCACGTTCTACAATCATTTAGTGGTAAAATCTGACAGTACCACATGAATTTATGAGGCTCAGCAGATCACAACTTCTCCTCTAGATACTCTGTCTTTGCTACCAGAACATTCTATTTCACACCCTTTGTTCCTCTGAATGAAAATGAAGACAAATCAGTCTCTGAGGATAAAGCATTTTTTCCAGTTTTCCTTCTTGTCCATCAAAATATCAGCACCACAGACAAATAACTATGAAGCACAACAAAAATCAGGCAAAAATACAGTTTGAGGGGTTATCACTCTCCTTCAGCCATAGGAGGGTAGGAGGAAAAAGAAATGAGAGACTCCAGAGGTCATAGAATCATGGAATTCCACCCTGGTTTGGGTTGGAAGGAATTTAAAGTCATGGAGTTGCCTCCCTGACATGGGCAGAAACACCTTCCACCAGCCCAGGGTGCTCCAAGGATCATCCAACCTGGCCTGGAACACTCCCAGGGATGGAGCAGCCACAGCTGCTTTGGGAAATCCATTCCAACCCCTCAGCACCTCACAGGGAGGAATTCCTTCCCAATATCCCACCTGAACCTCCTCTTTGTCAGTTTGAATCCACTCCCTCTCATCCTGTCACTATCGCTCCATGCAAGAGAGATAGTGCATGGAGAGAGGGAACCACCTTTATCAACCACCTTTAAGCCCCAATAAATATGTTTTTCCCTAAATCCTGAGAAGAGATAGTGGGAATGGGAATGCTCCCACCACCACATCCATCACTTTTTCCTGTCATGTCTTCAAAAAAACACCATCACCTTTCCCATAGTCCCCCAAACTTCCCTTTTCCCCCTCACAAAATGTTCCCACCCATTCCCAACTCACCTAACTCTGTTGGCTTCAAGAGCTCATCCAAGGTGGTGTAGAAAGGAAGTTTCACCAAGCGAACCTCAGGTTTGGCTACTTTGGGAGGTAACCTTCCCAGTCCATTCAGGTACTTCCCATAGAGAGCAGGATAGTCAATGTTAGTGGTGGAGATAGTCCGAGCCACGGCGCTGCCGCGGTCGTAGGATGAGTGTATGGAAAGGGCCTCGGAGCGATGCTGCTGTTGTGGTGGTGGTGGTGGCTGAGCCACCTCAGAGCTCTTCCTGTTGTAACGAGTCTCATAGAGCTCCTTAATTTTCTTGAACACCTCAGGGCTGCAGTCAAACTGGACCAGTTGTAAAGCTCTGGTGACTAGTTCGTGTTTAAGTCCACTTTTGCTCCTGCCGACGAAGCCCAACAGCATCTGAAGGTCTGAGACTCGGAAACTCATCACCATGTTCTGGGGGTAAAAGATGGAAAAGTTAGGGCATGGAGAAGTTAGAATCAGAGGTCCTGTTGTAACGAGTCTCATAGAGCTCCTTAATTTTCTTGAACACCTCAGGGCTGCAGTCAAACTGGACCAGTTGTAAAGCTCTGGTGACTAGTTCGTGTTTAAGTCCACTTTTGCTCCTGCCGACGAAGCCCAACAGCATCTGAAGGTCTGAGACTCGGAAACTCATCACCATGTTCTGGGGGTAAAAGATGGAAAAGTTAGGGCATGGAGAAGTTAGAATCAGAGGATCAACAAGGTTGGAGGAGATCTCTAAGGTCACCAAGTCCAACCTTTAACCTGTCACTGCTCTAACCCCTAAACCAGATCCTCCAACATCAGATTCAGATGCCTCTTAAACACCTCCAGGGCTGATGACTCCACCACCTCCCTGGGCAATATTCCAGTGCCAGGAACATGGAGAAGTCAGTCAGAACACGGAGAAGTCAGGTGGAATGTTCTCTTCTAAGACAGATCCCAAACCTCTTCAAACCCACTGGAATCATCTCATTTGCTTCCCAGTTCTTAGATACTTCTTTGAGCAACACAAATACAGAGATGATCCGTTGAAACATCACCAAAATCAGAGGAACATCAGGATAAGCATCAAATGATTCAGATATCCTCAAGGAAGGGTGGCTGGGAGCAAGAGACCTCAAGCAGGTCCCACACAAGCATCAAATTCCTCCCAAATCCCTGTGATGGATGCCAAGGGTGACTGGAGAAGACCTTAAGAGCAGGTCCCATAAGTGAAGGAGCACCTGAACTCCTTCACTACAGAGACCTGAGGCATCCAACCCTCCCAGGCACCTCTGGGAAGAGACACAGAGGGAAAACTTCATCCCAAATGGTGTTAGAGTCAGGCAAAGGAGAACATCCATGGGTGGCAAGTGAAGCTGAGGAGATCTGGGGCCACCAGAACTTCTGGGCTGTATTTCAGTGCACCTGAATGGACAAACCCCTTCCAGAATCCTTCTCCATGCTCAGGATCCTTAAAAACATCAGGGATTTTAGGGGATGGAAAGTTATCATATGATAATTAAAGACAGCAATGTGTTCCCAAGAGAACAGTAGCCCCAGGCCCATCTGGGTGCTGTGCCAAGGACTTCCCAGTGATCCCAGTCAGGAGCTGCACTGGAATTCTGTGTTTGCTAAGCAGGAAAAATCCTTCTCCATCTTCCATCTTCTGTGGAAATTGAAGCCTGTCACTGCCAGCAGATTCAAACCCAGACTGGACCACATGGTTCTTAGCCTGTTGGGAAGTTGCCAAGTGATTCCTGCTAATAATTCCCACTGGATAGAAAATTCAGTTCCCTAAAAACCAAACAGCCTTAGAATTGCAACAAAACAAGCTCAGAAAGTTTGGGTTGGAAAATTCAAGCTGCTCTGGAAATAGACTCCATAGATATCCATGTGTAGTTACTCCATCTCCTTCCAGGTTTGGGGGAAAAAATGGGAATTCAAGAAGAAATCCCAGTTAAAAAATATCCAGCAACAAAAATCCAACAGGTTTCTCCAATATCTACTCAAATCTTGGATTAAATAATCATGAAAGCATAAAATCAGGTTTTTGTGGAATTCTCCTGGAATAAACCAGCTAGAGATGAGTATTTTTAATTAGGAAAAGCTCCTTCCAGGAACATTTAACAGCCACTTTTGGATGTGTGGGAATGAGACTGGAGAGAAAAATGCCATTTTATTTGCTCCTTTTTTTCATTCAATATGTCATTTAATCTGAGAACCTAAAGCTGTTCAGTCACTGATTGTGGTTAAAAAGCTTTGGGAGTCGTGATGTGTCCCAAAATACCTTGGATGAGGGGGGAAAAAAACCCAGGTGAATGCAGAGGAAAGAAAGGATGTTTAACTGGCAGCAAGTCAGGATTCCAAAGCTTTGGATTCCTGGTGCTGCTCCACTAGGAACCACCTGTGAAATCCTGGAGAATTCCAGTTTGTGTCTGTTCCCTTCAACTGAAAAATAGGATCAGGAGCATGAAGAGCTAGAAAATACTTCCAAGATTATCAAGTCCAACCAAATCTCACCATACCCACTAAAGCACATTGGGAAATGGGAGAATGTGATGCTCTCTCCAAGGTATTTGAGGATAAAAGGTGGTGTTTTCCAGGATAAATTGATCACCCACAGCAGCAGGAGGTACCAGGAGAATCCCTAGGGCACTGCACACACATAACTCCTGCACCTGCTGCTCCTACACCACCAATCCCTCAGGAATCTCAGGGTGAAAAGTAGAGTTAGGAGCCAAAATCTCCCATTTCAAAGGATTTCAGACCCAAAAAAGGCAAGATGAGATTTGAGGAATGACACAAGAAGCGAAGGATTTCAACCCAAGAAGGATGAGGAGATTTGAGTAGTGATACCAGAAGAAAGAAGAGACAAAGAAAAACCTGTCACCAAAGCCTGGACCTGCTCCTGAGAATCCTGACACTCCCACACGTTCCTCCCACCGGGAAGCTTCGTGTGGGAGGGCACAGAGCCCACCCAACACCTGCTGCAGGGCAGCCACAACGCCTGGGAAGAGCATGTTATCCTCCAGAATCCCGGGAAGCTCCAGCAGGAGCTCCAAGAGAGCTC